TGTGCATGTGTGCGTGTGCGTGTATGTGTGTGTGCGTGTGTCCATGTGTATGTGCGTGTGTGTGTGTTCGTGTATGTGTGTGTGTGTGTGTGTGTGTTTTCAGAACACTCAGAATCTGCTCTTAGTGTTGTCAAGACTGTGGTCTGCTGACATTAACTGCAGATGTCATGGCATATAAAGACTCTCTGGAACCTCCTCCTGCCCCACGGAAGCTCTGTACCCCTGGGGACCCCAGTTCTACTCTCCATTTCCATGAGCACCACTTACCTGTGTCCAGGAATGACATTGATGGAGACACTGCTGTCTCTCACTGACCATTATGGCCTCAAGTTTCCTCCAGGTTCTTAAAATGTCAGGATTTCATTCTCCTTTAAGGCTGAATTGTGTGGGCCAGCGCCGTGGCTCACTAGGCTAATCCTTTGCCTGCGGCGCCGGCACTCAGGGTTCTAATCCCTCTTGGGGCGCCGGTTCTGTCCTGGTTGCTCCTCATCCAGGCCAGCTCTCTGCTGTGGCCCGGGAGGGCAGTGGAGGATGGCCCAGGTCCTTGGGCCCTGCACCTGCATGGGAGACCAGGAGAAGCACCTGGCTCCTGGCTTCGGATTGGTGCAGCGTGCTGGCATAGCAGCCATTTCAGGGGTGAACCAACAGAATTTTCTCTCTGTCTCTCTCTCACTAACTCTGCCTGTCCCAAAAAAAAAAAAAAAGGCTGAATCATGGCATTCACACGAGGATACTTCAAAAGGTCAGGGGCAATGTAATTAAAAGTTCATTTTGGTGCAAAGGGTTGAAGTCCATGTGTAGTTCTTTCCTCAATGTGCATTTTCCGTGGGGTTTTTGAAGGCCCTGCATGTGTGGTGCAAGGCTGGTCCCTTCCTTTGGCAAGGTGACATCCAGTGTCCCCAGCACCGTTTATTAAAGATGCTGTGCTTTCCCCACTGTTGTCCTTGGTGCCTTTGTCACTGATCAGTCTGCTGCAAAGGGATCATTCTCAATGTGGCTCTGATGCTCTCTGTCTCTCTCATTCATTTTTGTTGCCTTCTTAGCTACTCCTCAGCTTATATGGTTCTATTTTTTTAAGATTTGTTTATTTTGAAGGAGTTAGAAGGAGAGACAGAGACAGAGATCTTCCATCTACTCTTTCCAATAGTTCCCTCCCCAGATGGCTGCAATGGCTAGCACTGGGCCAGCGCGAAGCCAGGAGCTTTATCCCGGTCTCCCACATGGGTGCAGGGGCCCAAGCTCTTGGGCCATCTTCCACTACCTTCCTAGGTACATTATCTGGGAGCTGCATCAGAAGTGGAATGTCTAGGACACAAAATGGCACCTATATGGGATGCCAGTGTCGCAGCTGGTAGCTTTACCTGATTTGCCACAATGCCAGCCCCAGTACTTTTTTCTTTTTAAATACCTCTACATACTTGCTTCCACAATTAAAATACGAAGTTGGCCAGTTGATCCCAGGCATGCCCAGTTACCTCTGCCCCTCTGAATTCCCAGTTCATGTCCGTAACGTGGACGTCCTCCTCCAGACCTGCACGATGCTTCCCATGCAGTAAATATTCGGAGATGAGTGGGGTTTGTGTTCCTGCCCTAGCTGGTCATCACACGCCTGTGTCTGCAATGCTCGTGACTCGTGGTTGCCAAGTCAGTTTGCTGGTACTTACTGCACTTCACAGGCATCCGAGAACGCTCACACCCACCCACATAGGGAGGTGCACACCACCTCGCTTTATTCTGGAAGCCTGACTGCACCGGACTGACTTTCTCTCTCCTCCACTTTCCATTCTCACCCCTCAACCAAAAGGCAAGGTTTGCGAGAGCCACGTTCCTGGGAGCTGTGAACTGGTACATCCTGGTACTGAAACTGTGTGGTGGAAGGCGTTGTTTCCTTGGTAGCCAGTACCTTTGCTGACACACACCGCCAGTATCTGGGCTCTGTAACTGTTGAGCTCAGACGACTGGGCCCCATTAAATAGCACAGAGTCTATGTTGGAATCCCTCTGAGTCAATTCTAGGGCTTCCCTGTTTTGTTGCCAGTGACTCATTTAGGAATGAGTGTAATCTAGGCTTGTACAACAGTTGTCTTTGCTCCCAGGAAGGGGTGGTGTGATGTTTGGATCTGTGCAGCAATCCTGGCGTCACAAGGGCCAGCTCAAGAGTACAAGTTAATACTCTGATAATGGCAGAGCAGGAGGGAGGGAAGCGCAGGGGTCTTCACATAGCCCAGCTGCTCCTGATTCACCACCTCCAGAGCCACCTCCTGTCCAGGTCTTGTCCGTGTTCTTGTGTGAGATCATCCACACAGGCCATTGTAGACTGGGCATTCGTGCTCTACAGCTGAAAGCACGCTGGCCCAGGAGCCATGCCTGCTTGTTAGCTGCCTGGCTGCCTGTTGGTGAACTCACCTCCAGACGTTGGCTAGGAGAGGCGGGGGGACAGCATCGTTCAAACCGTCAGGAAAACGAAGTTTGCTGTTTTATGGCCGCCTTTGGGTTAGTGGGCAGGGGGAGTCTGAGTCACGGGAAAATCACAACAAGAGCAGCTTTCCAGTCATCCCTCAGTGCCACTTCTTAGCCGAATCATGCAGTTAAACTGCTCAGTGCTCACCACACTGAGCTTGCTGAGCTGGCCTGGAAGAGTGAGCCTGGGCTGCCGAGGCCCCGTCCCCTCCAGGGCCACCCGCAGTGGGGCTGTGTGGCAGGAGCTGTCGGGGCAGTTTGCCACCCTGAGATGGTCACCCTCTTTCCACCTTGCCCCTGCGGCAAGGCGGTCTGCCCACTCTGGTCCGTGCCTCGGGTGGCCTGTCTAAGGGAGCTTGGCCTTCTCACCTGGAGTATGGCAGTCACTCCTGCTCAGGGACTGCGCCTGTGCGAGGGCTGTGCTCTCTGTGAGGCAGAGCAGACCGTGTGTCTCCCCTGCCTGTGATCTTTTCATGACTGCCTGCCCACTATTTATGGACCTGTGCAAGCCAGCTGATGCTCTCCTGGACGGGCGGATCTCTCACCCTTGTCTGCCAGAGACGTAAACACCGACCTGCTTCACACCAGAAGCTTCTAGAACATGACCATGGCAACCACCTCCATGTCTTTCCTGTTGCTCCTCTCTGGAACGCTCTCTCCTGGTCCTCCCTGCACCGTCCACGTCCTTCTCCAAGTTACGTCTTCAGTGGACTCTGAAGCCTCCCCGGATGCAGAATTAGGATCCACTTCCCCTTGTGTGCCTTGGTTGGAGCCCCTATCTCCCACCACATCCTGAGCAGCTCTGGACAGCCCTCACCTGCGTCCTACCCCGGGCCCTGCCCGCTCGTGGTGCACACCGTGAACGGAAGTGGAAGGGGCCAAGTGGCGAGAATGAAACGTCTGCTGCGATTTCTGATGCAGTGGACTTGTTGCAGGTTTGGGGATCCCGGGAGCAGGAATTGGATGCAGGTGTGGGGGCAGCAGGTGTGCGTGGCAGGGCCGAGGACGCTGGCCGGCTCGTGCCTTCCTGCGCTCACACATCAAGGTGCTCTCCACCACTAGTGGCTGCTCAGTGAAGCCTAGGGGGTAACTGTTCTCACTGCTTCCTCTCTTGTTGGGAGTCTGGAGACAGAAGCACCGAGTCATGGAGTTGCAAGCTCTCCCAAGAACTCCAGGTCCTCACTGGCGCTGAGACCGGGAGGTTTAGGAAATTCCTGTCTGGGGCCTCTTCTAGCTTCCGCTGCAAACAAAGGGCGAAGTTTTCAGTCACTCCTTGAGCCAGCGTCCACATCCCTGTTGACAAATAAATCTTTTCCTGTCTTCTTGTGGGGCTCCATGTTGCCTTCCAGCACCCATCATTCAATGCCTGCTTCCAGTTTTTCTCAGGAAGGCCACCTGGGTTTGTCTTGGACACAGCACTGCACCTGCAGGCAGGAAAGGTGGCCCCCAGGGAGCCTGTAGATCAGGTCTTTTCACAGTGCTTTGTGCTGTGGATAAACAGGCCCTCTTCACCCTGGCCGCCGTAGTTAGAGGAGAACGGGCCATCCCTGGGGGGGGGATGGGCCTTCCAGTGATCGACGTTTGAGTGATGCTTACTGGTTCATTCCTGTCTCCATGATAACCAGCTTCATCAGGTGGAACAGCCAGAGTGACCTGGGACAGCTTTGCTCTCCCAACCAGCAGGTTTCAGGAAAGTGACCTTTGGCTTGCTCACCATGCCTGGGCTCAGCTCAGTTAGAGAGGCAGCTGGTGGCTGCACAGGTGGGATCTGCTGACAGTGCTGTGTGCCTGGGTGGTCACGAGGCCGGTGTGGGCATGTGAAGGGGACCTGGGGGTGCTCAACAACCCCGTCTCAGCAGGGTGGCACCTTCAGGAAAGGGGCGCCACTCCCATGCCCCTCGGAAGCCAGCACACAAAGCGTCCTGCAGTTCCTTCAGTGTATCAACTCCAGGAAGCGGGACAAACAGGAATGATAAATGCCTTGTGTGCCTTGGCTTCCAAGCAGGAATCAGGGCGCAGGCGGGGCGAGTGAGTTTTCCTTGGGTCCGAGCCAACCAAGTGAAACCCCAGGAACCCGGTCTCCAGCTGTGTCATGACCGCACAAGATGCGATGCTGTGGACTTGAGATCTGGGCTGTCGTTCATGGGGGCAGAGACCCCTGGGCATGCAGGTCTGGGGCGGCCTGCAGAGTGTGGTCTAGTTCCCCTTGCTCTGATCACAAGCCCTGTGTGCTGAGTCAGTGTTTGTGCCGAGGTATCCTGGTCTGAGAACACGGGCATGGCACCTGACAAGCTCTCTGCGTGTGCTCCTCTGCCCCAGGAGGCGATGGAGCGCACAGCCGCACCTCGGACGTCGTCATCAACAGGCTCAGTGCTGAGAAGAGGCAGAGTCAAGAAAGACACGGCAGGAGTGTAGGACACAGAGGTAGCTGTGCTGACTGTAGCAAAAAGTAGGTCTGAAGAAATCACCTGCTCAAAAGTGTGGGGACAGTTTGCAAATGGAACTGGGGTTCTCTTTATAGCTTCTGTCTCCACTTTCCAGGTGCTGGTTCCTGGCTTCAGAATATCATCTGGGTCTCCCACGAGGGTAGCAGGGACCCGAATACTTGAGCTGCCACCTGCTGCCTCCTGGGTGCACATTAGCAGGAAGCTGGTTCAGAAGCAGAGCCAGGACCCAGAGCCAGGTACTCCGATATGGGATGCAGGCATCCCCACCTCTTCTTGGTTCTCACGTGCGGTTCAGAAATGCACAGTCTGTGGGGCTCGTGTTCGGGCTGCTGAATCCCCTGCTAGGCACTGTCTGGAGCTCTGCCAGGACAAATATAAACAGCAAAAGAACTCACTCGGTAAGGATCTGTCTTTTTGCCAGCTTGCACAAGGAAAATGTGTTTAAGGAGAAAAAATGGTAGGAGGCTGTGTTTTTGTTACATGTGATGCTCATCGGATCCCAGCTCTGTGAAACCCATTAAAGACAACACAGAGCGTTGAGCACCAGCAGCCGAAGTCTTTGCTGGTTACTGACTTAGGAGATTAAAAACAGCCCAAGTGAAGATGAAGGTGGGGTCATAAACACAAGTCCCTGAAACCGTCCTTGGTGCTGTCCCGCAGGTCTGCTGGCTGAGGGGCTCAACGCCTTAAGGGAATCTCGCATTGCATAGGAGAGGAGGGTGCTCATGGCTGGCAGTGTCCCTGGGGAGTGGAGAAGGCTGGCAGCAGCCGCTGGGCACAGCCTGAGGCCAGCGCACTGTGCTCATCTCCGGTGTGCACTGGCCCCGCGGCAGGGTAGAGCAGGCTGATGAGTTAAATCAACCCCGTGTGGGCCTTCCCTGTATCAGGGGATTCATTCCCTTTACTCCACACCCATCTGCTTTCCTAACTCACTCCTGGAATGCAGGAAAATGCCAGCTGCAGCGCGGATGGGCACCACGGAGCCAGCTTCGGAGAGCAGGCCCCTGTCACTGTGTTGACATATCCAGGACTCGCCCTCGCGGGAACTCAACCTGAAGACTCCAAAACGGAGGCTTTGCCTGTCTACTCTGTAAATAGAACATTCTGGCAACTGCATAATAAATATACATGACAATGTCTATAAGGGACCTGCAAAACATTCATGAAAAACTGAAATGAAAGATGGGCTTATTTTGCCGCAAAACATTCTGAAATCCATACAGATGAGCCGTCTTCCCTAAGTTCAAGGAATGTGAATATTACGAGACAACTACACAGAGTTCAAACTTCCCTTTCCCCCAGACGTGTGTGCTTCAGTTCCGTTGTCTGCAAACCTCACGTTCCCTCGACCATGTTGATGTGTGTGGAGCTCCCAGAGCCTCAGGGTCAGCAGTTGTCTGGATCCCCGGTGGGGATGTTGCTGGGACGGCAGACAGGTCTGTATTGGTCATGGCTCTGCACAGTCAGGGATCCGTGAGGCTGGGTACAACCCACAAGGCCGTGTGCACCTCCGTTTGTGTGCCCCAAAGCATCATGGCTGTGGTGCTCCTCTGCTGTCTGCCCTGGGTGAGGAGAGTCTCCTTGCTGAAACCCCATGCGTGTCTGCTCCCTCCCTCCAGCTTTAAGGTAGCCTCTTCATAGTATTTCGAGGCCACTGCACTGAGCCTGGCCTTCTGTCAACCCACGGTAGGAGAAGGTGGAGTTTTCAATGGGGACATGATTGACAGGATGAGATGTGGACCCTGGGAAGCTGTCCTGTGTCCAGCTTCCCAGTAGTCACAGGTTCCATATGCCTGACATTTGCAACCCAATTGCACAAGATGGCATCAGACTTTGCTTTGTGCTTTTGTGTTGTTTTGGGTCGGGTTTCTGAGTGGGTAGACAATCACATACAGCAGAGAGAAGCGGCTCGGTCCACCTCCCTGAGGCCGTGACCACCCTTCCCCTCCATGAGCACACCCAACAGATCAGGTGGCCTCCAGGTACCACGCCACCCCTTCCGATGCTGTTCGCTCCTACTTTGATTGACAGTCTATGCAAACTCTGTTGCTGGCTTTGGGCCAAAGTTGGAGTCAGAGGATCACAAATCATCTCTAGGTCTCCTTGCCCACAAGCGCTGGGTGGGAGACACTGAAACCAATGCCACTCTCGCAGGAAGTAAAGCGGATGCACACTTTGGCTGTGTTTCCAGCCACGCTGTCTGTGTGAGGACGTCCTCTGTGGCTGGCACCATGCATGGGCTCTGGTGCCCTTCCCCCCACAGTGCAGTGTGCTAGGCAGTGAGGACCTTGCCTCTCTGTCTCACCAAGGCCAAGCTGTGAGTTTGTGGCCTGGCCATTCATGTTTCCTGTCTGGGATCTGGAGAAAGCTGGTGTCGTAGAACAAGGGTGGAGAGAAGTGCCCATGGCAAGGAGAGGGCATCCAGTGACGGCAGCAGCTTCTGCCCACCTCGGGTGTCCTGAGCTGCCTGCTTCTGTCCAGAGTGGTGCCTTTAGATTCCCCTGCTCAGGGAGTGCCAGCCTAATTCCACTGAATTCCTCGTGTTTTTCTTTTGTTTTTGGAAATATTTATTTTACTTATTTGAAAGGCAGAACAATAGAGAGAAGGACACACACACACACACACATACACAAAGCGAGATCTTCCATATACTGGTTCAGTCCTCAGATGGCCACAGTGGTAGAGGCTGGGCCAGGCTGACACCAGGTGTCAGGAACTCCATTCGAGTCTCTCGCATGAGTTGCATGGGTCCAAGGACTTGAGCCATCACACCTCAGCCTCCCAGGTTCATTAGCAGAAGTGGAGCAGCTGGGACTTGAACCAGTGCTCACATATGAGATGCAGGACTCTCAGGCAGTGGCTTAAGCCACAGCACCACACCAGCCCCACCTCTTTTTTCTGTAGAGCTGCATGAACCATGAACCAGGCCTCTACTCTGATCAGGGGCAGTGTGTGTCCCCCGTTACCGGGGAGGAAAGATGGTCAAGAGGGGCTCCCTGCTCTGATGGCTGGGTCTGGGTCTGGCTGATCTCCAGGGCTGTGAGTAGAATGTAATTCTACAGAGAGATCTGGCCTTTTAAATTTGACCTTCTCCAACGAGAAAATTATATCAAAGGGGAAAATATTTACTTTTGACATTCACAATAACAAAACAAAAAATACATAAAAATCACTCCATACAAAATTTAAAAAGTCAAAGTCATGTGACAATCTTTGGTGGATGCACACTTGCCTGTGCTGCCTGAATTTCCATATTCCGGCATTGTCCTTAGTTCCTTTCACCCGCTCAGAGCACATTTAAGAAACAACTCTGCTTACTTTGTAAGTTAACTGACACCAGGATGATTATGGTTTGATGGGTAACTTTTCTGTTGTATATCCAGCTCTCTGCTCACCATCTGAAGGTGAGCCTTCAAATGTGGCCTGCCACATTAGCTAAAATGTTAGGGCCGTGGAAGCTACCAAGAGAAATGTGTGTCCAGGACTGGGCAGAGCAGACTCAGCAGATGAGAACCAAGTGCACGTGTGAAGGCACACATATGTGGATGTGTCTGTACAATGCATCTACTTATCACATGTGCCTGTAGATACGTGGGAAGGGTCTTTGAAAAGTGCCTGGGAAATGAAATGTGTGTTATATTCTATTTCTCATTTCCATGCACCTTTTAAAGTGCCCTTGTATTTGTATGTATGTAAAGGAAAGGAATCTTATTTCTGACCTTTTTGATGTGTTTTAGTACACGCTGCCTGATCTGGTTAAACACCCTGCATGTTCACAGCCCTCGGCCCTTCGTGGACTTCTGCCCTCACTCACTTTCCTGGAAGTCACTGGGGGGACATGAAGAAGCTGAATGCTGTGATGGTGCTCTGCAGTGTCTCTGGTCAGTGGCTTTGCAGGGTGGGGAAACAAAGCACTTTCTCTCTTTAAAGATGAGGGCCCAGACCTCAGAAAAGCATGCCACTAGTGAGAGTGGGCCTGCTGGCTGCCCTGCGTGGGAGTTCTCCCACCTCTGCTGCTGCCCTGCGGATGCATCCCGGGGGTGAGCTGGGGAACCCAGAGCCTTGCCTGCTGTACCGCCGACTCGACATTGTCATGGCTGCATCGAGCCTCACTGATAACATCCCTGCCACTGCAGCTGAGCAGAAGGTAGAGGTCACCAGCGTTAGGGACCACAACAAGGGCATTTCCACAAAAGCTCCCGTGGAGCTGATGTGCACACCTCTGGGAATGGCTGCCTTCTCGTCATTCAGTGGCTATAAGCCAGAGTTTAGAGATGAGATGGAACTAGAGGGAGCTCACACAACTAGCAGCTTGTAGAGTTGAGTCTTGCAGTCAGTCCCTGGGACCGCAAACTTGAATGTTGTTAGTAGTGGGCTCACGTGAATTAGGATATATGTGCTTATGGACTCATCTATTCCTTATGAATGGGGCTATTTGTTTTTAATACTATTTTAACACCCTTTTGATTTTTGTTTTCATGTTTTTTGAAAGGCAGATAGGGAGAGAGAATCTTTTGTCCACTGGTTTACTCCCCAAATGCCCTCAAAAGCCAAGACTGGGCCAGGTTTGACCCACAAGCCATGAATTCTATTTGGGTCTCCCACGTGGGTGGAAGGGATCCAAGTACTTAGCTCACCATCTATTGCCTCCCAGGGTGTGTCTCAGAAGGAAGCTGGATCAGAAGTAGAGGAACTGGAACTCAAACCCAGGCCCTCTGCTATGGGCTGCTGGCATTACAAGTGGCGACTTAAGTGATGCACCAAACACCTGCCCCTCTATGGGGTTATTCAGATCCCAACAGCAGGAAAGGACAGGGTGGACTTCAAGGCCAGGTGGTTGCCCAGGGTTGCCATGACAGGGGGTGAGTTCCCAAGCCCAGGAAGTCTGAGTCTGCAGGCAATGCCCTTAACCACATCTGCACCCAGCCCTGGGGTCCCTGTTGAGAGGAGGGGGCAGAACTCCCAGAGTGATGGGGAGGACAGGGAGCAGGGGGAACTAGCACATGTAGTTGAGGTGACAGTGCCAGGCTCAAAGTGTTCAGAGGCGAGTTGCAGATCTAAACCAATCTCTTCTTAACTGTGTCAAATCCTGCTTCCCTTGTCTTTCAGGTTATCTGAGAATTTAAACTCCAGCCCCCTCCCCCACCAGCATTTGAATGAACACTGCCGGAAGTTCAAAAGGTGAAGTCACTAAAAACAAAACCTTAGTGTTTTGCTTTGCTTGTTTTGGGAGATGCCAAATGTCTATTCCTAGTATTTATGGAACCAGGAAGTGCTAATATAACAGGAATGCGATGGTCGGAGTAATCCGATACAACAGCCACCAGGAAGTCCTGGGAGCTGCTGGTAAGAGAAGTTGTTGCAACACTTCTGCTTGGCTGTCCTCCCCCCGGTCCCATAAAGTGCTGGTTTGTGAGCCATTCCTGCCAGTGTTAAGAACAGCGCTGCATCTTCACTGCTGTCTGGGCCCTGGCCACGGCTCCAGCTAATGCCGAGGCCGCCGCTGTGCTTCCCCCTCCCTCTGGCAGAACGCCACAAGGGAGCTATGTTTCTCTTCCGTGCTGTGAATGTATTTGCACACGAGAGCTCCGGGAAGACATGCCTCACGTAGTATGCACGTGTCATGCTAACACACTGGTCACCAGCCTCATGTGCCTGTTTCCATTTAATTAGACATGCAATAAAACTCCAGTTCATCAGTTGTACAAGCCACATCTCAAGGACTCAATGACCATACATGGCTGGCATTGGCTAGGGACACTGCATTGCCTGGACAGCTGTAGGCCATTTCTGTCAACACAGACAGCTCTATTGGAGAACCATGTATAGAACCTGGCCTCAGTGGGGAAGAAGAGACAGCAATACCTGCAGATAGAGGTGCGACCTGGCCCCTCAGCTCTGGGAAGCAACTGGCAGCCTGTCCCTAGCAGGTTAGTCTCATGTAGCTCTTGCACACTGACAGTGCCCCATTGCTGTGACCATGTGTGTGTGGCCCTCAGACACAGGCAACTGAGCTATACCCAGTTGGAGTTGCTGCAGTGGCCCTGTCCCCATATGATCCATGGAAAATGACAAGTGCCCCCACACCTACAGCCAGGTTCACAGGGGCTCAGCGCTGCCAGCAAACATGCCATGCCTAAGAGAATGCGTCCCAGCTGACGATACAATCCTACAACCCTGCATCCTAGACCACAGGGACACCTGCAAACATCCCCAGTGTGGATCACAGCTGAAGCTACATGGGCCACCTGGAACCTAAGCCAACAAAGCCTATCCAGGCAACACCGAAGCCACCCTATGAAGTCAGTAATGACAAAAAATCAGATGCACAAATACCAGTGTTGAGACACAGGAAGGATGAAAAAAGCAACATGACACAGCAAAGGAACACAATTCTCTAGCAGTAAACTCCAAACAGAAGGAAACTGGCTAATTGCCTGAAAGAGAATTCAAAATAATTATTTTGAAGAGTCTTAGATATAAGAAAATATAGACAGACAATTCAACCAAACGAGGCGGATATTTCATGACATGAATGAGAAATTCAGTGTAGATACCATAGAAGATAATCAAACAGAAATGTGGAGCTGAAGAACTTAATAATAAAAAATACAACGGAGAGCCTCAACAGAAGTATAGATCAGGCAGAAGAATTTCTGAATTTGATAAGATTTTGAAATAACCAAGTTCAGAAGAATGAAGAAACGTTTTAGGGGACACCATTAAGGAAACAAATATTTCATTATGGGTTTTCCAGAAGAAGGGAGAAGATATAGAAAACTTATCCAAGAAATTAATTGTTGAAATGTTCCAGATTTGAGGAAAGATGCAGACATTCAGATCCAGGACGTTTCCAGTGCCTTTAACAGAATTGACTAAAAGGGATCCTCTCTGAGGATATTATAGTCAGATTGTCAAAAATACGAGATAGGGCAGGCGTTGTGGTATGGTGGGTTAAGTCACCACCTGTGTCCCATATTAAAGTGTCAATTCAAGTCCTGCTACTCTGCTTTTAATCTGCCTTTCCTGTTAATATATCTTCAGAGGCAGTAGATACTGACTCAAGATCCTGGGTCCTTGCTACCCATGTGGGAGATTCAGATGCAGTTCTGGGTTCCTGGCTTTGGCAGGCATTTAGGGAGTAAGTCAGTGGGTGGAAGAGATCTCTTTCTCTCTGTCTCAGTCTGTCTCTTTCTTTTTTGTTCTTTCAAGTAGATTAAAATAAATATTTAAAACGCACAAGACAGAACTCTAAAAAAAAAATAAGAGAAAAGTATCAGGTCACACAGGTCACATATAAAGGTATCTTCATTAGACTAACGGCAGACTTCTCAGTAGAAACCATCCAGGAAAGCAGAGAATGAGAAGATACATTCAAAATCCTAAAATATGACACTGCCAACCAAGAATTCTATACCCAGAAGGGTTATCCTTATTAAACGAAGGAGAAACTCTGTATATCAAAGGTGAGCAAAAACTGAAGGAATTCTTCACCACCACACTGACCCTATGAGAAATGAGTAACCAGAAGGTAAGTGCCATCATGAGAAAACACAAAAGCACAAAATTCAGTGGTATAGCAGTCACACAAAAAAGGAAGATCACCAAACCACAAAGGTGGGCCACAAGATGAAAGGAACATATGACATATGAAGCCAGAGAGAAATCTACAAAATGACAGAACTGTGTTATCATATTAATAATATTGAATATGACTAAACATAGGAATTAAAAGATACAGACTAGTTCCGGTTGTGGTGCCAGATTCTGTCCAGGTTGCTCCTCTTCCAGGCCAGCTCTCTGCTGTGGCCCTGGAAGGCAGTGGAGGATGGCCCAAGTGCTTGGGCCCTGCACCCTCATGGGAGACCAGGAGGAAGCACCTGGCTCCTGGCTTCGGATCGGTGCAGCGCACTGGCCATGGCGTCCATTTTGGGGGTGAACCAAAGGAAGGAAGACTTTTCTCTCTGTCTCTCTCTCCTCTCTCTCACTGTCTAACTCTGCCTGTCCAAAAAAAAAAAAAAAAAAAAAGATATAGGATGGCTGAATGGATAAAACAGGATGGCCTAGGAATGCACCATCTACTAGAAATATATTTCACCAAAGTGTGCATAGACAGAATGAAAGAATGGGAAAAATGCCATGCGAATGGAAACAAAAAAACAAAGAGGAGTACCTATATTTATACTAGATGAAGTAGATATTAAGTCAGAAACTGTAAAAAGAGGCAAAGAAAGTCACTGTATACTAATAAAGGGATGAATTCAACACAAATTACAATCATAAATATATTTGTACCCAACATTGAAGCACCCTAATAAAAACGTTATTTGATCTAAAAGAGAGAAGCTCTACTGCACTAATAGTAAGGAACTTAGACACTGCACTTTCATCTGTGGCAGATCATCTCACCACAGTGATCAGCAAAGAAACAATGGAGTTAAATTACACTGCAGACCAAATGGACCTAATAGACATTTGCAGAGCATTTTATCCAAGAGCTACAGAATACACATTCATACTATCAGCACATGGAGCATTCCCCAGGGTCAGCCATGTGGTGGTTCACGAGTCTTAATTTTTTTAAAAAAATCTTGAAAACATATCCTGTGTGTTCTCTAATCATAATGGAACAGAAATGAAAGTCAACAAGAGGAACTTCAAAAACCATAACACATGAAAGTTAAATAGTTTTTTTAAATGATCCATGGGCCAAGGAATAAAAGAAATTAAAAAAAAACTGAAACAAAAACACAACATATCAATCCTGTAGTATACAGCAAAAGCACTAAGGGGAAATTTATAGTGCTAAGTGCCTACATCAAAAAATGGAAACATTTAAAATAAACAACCTAATGATGCAATTCAAGGAAGTAGAAAAGCAGGAGGAATGAACTAAAACCAAAATTAGTAGAAGGGATGCAATGATGAATATCAGAGTGGAAGTAAATGAAGACAGACTTAGAAAACTGCAGAAGATAAGTGGAACAAAGCTGGATCATTGAAAAGATAAAATTGACAAACTCTAGCCGGACTAACCAAAAACAGAGAAAGGAGACCAAAATAAATGAAGGCAAAGATAAAAATGACAGTACAGCTGATACCATGGAAATATAAGAGATCCTTAGAGACTATTGTGATGAACTATCTGCCATTAAATTAGAAAACTCAAGAGAAGACTGAATTTCTGAACACATAAAATGTACCAAAAATGAACCAGAAAGACATAGAAAACCTGGATATACCATAAGAATTAACAATACTGAATCAGAAATGAAAAGTCCCTTACAAAGGAAAGCCCAGGACTGGATGACGTTACTGCTTAGTTTTACCAAACATTTAAAGAACAAATAACAATTCTTCTCAAACTATTCCAAAATACCAAAAGGAAGAGAATGCTTCCATACTTACTGTACAAGGCCAGCATTACTCTGATACCAAAATCAGACAGATATACAACAGCAACAAAAGAAAACTATAAACTAATATCTTAGCTGATCATGGATGCAAAATTCTCAACAAAATCCTAGCAAATTGAATCCAACACCACAATAAAGAGATCATTCTCCTTGACCAGGCTGAATGTATCCCGAGAATGCAAGGATGATTCAACATATGCAAATAAATAAATGTAATACATCACATTAACAGAATGAAGGGTAAAGACCATATAATATTCTCAGTAGTTTCAGAAAAAGCAATTGGTAAAATTCAACATCCCTTCAGGGTAAACTCTTTCCACTCCCAAAAAAGTGAGGTACAGGAGGAACATACCTCAACACAATGAAGACTATCATCACAGAATCACAGACTACATCATGGTGAGTGGGGAAAAGCTGAATTCATTTCCTCTAAGTTCAGGAAGGAGACAAGGATGTCAACTTTCCCCACTTACTTGATGAGGCATTGGAAGTCTGAAAGCAGTAAGACAAGAGAAAGACATAAAGAGCATCCAGTAGGAGAGAAGGAGATCAGATTTGCAGAAAACATGGTTTCATATAGAAAAAAACCTAGACTCCACTGAAAACTGTTGGAACTGGTAAATGAGTTCAGTGAGGTTGCAGGATACAAAATCAACATCTAAAAGTCAGTTATTTTATACACCAAAAATGAAACTGCTGAGAAAGGAATCAAAAAGCAATCCCATTCATCATGGCCAGAAAAAAACAAACCAAAAATCTAGA